AGTGGGGTTGCGGGGTTACAGGACACAACAGTATGCCTGTATTCCATAGTCTGTTCAGCCTGAGGCAGGATGCAGGCTGTGCTTGAGCAGGGGGCGCATTCAAGAGGCAGTCTATGTTTGGTTGGGGGGTGTGATGACCAAACAAACTACCCAATTCAGGCATTTTGCATGGTGTCCTCTACCTCTGAATGGCCAGCCAAGGGATGAAAACTAACCACAAGAGCACAGATCAGCTTTTGTGCTTTGTGTGGTTAGTTTATAACAAAGAAGAAAGTTGACTCGCAGGATCAAACAGATACTTCCCCTACCTCCTAGATTGTAAGTTCCAAGGAGCAGGGCCCTCCTATCCCTCTTGTATTGAACTGTATTGTTGCTGTATTGTCTCCCATTATATTGTAAAGCGCTGAGCAAACTGTTAGCGCTATATAAATCCTGTATAATAATAAAAATACTTCAGATGGAAGAAGTGCATGGAAATGATAGAGACTATGATTTTTAAAATACACATATGTGAACATACACCTGAAAAAAAGAATAAATATTTAGGGTAGCATACACTTTAAGTCTATTTTGTGTGCCTTCATTGTTTTGACTGTGTTTGACCATGGCAATGCAGCAAAGGTAGGTTAGGGACTTTTAAAAGAACAGTAGTGAGAGAAATGCTGGAGGGGTGGTCTGCTGCTGTCTTCCTTCTCAGAATTCTAGTTACTGCCTCTATCTAATGGTCATTGACTTAGAAGGTGCATGCAGATTAGAAAGTGAACTCCTGGCCTACATACTTGTTCTAAATCTGTGCTTCAGCAAGTATCAAAGCTGTTGGGTCAGCATTATAACCAGCAAAGTAAGATTTTCTGAAGGACAGGTCAGAAGGGGAAGGCTCTGTACTCTCTGGATAAAAGTTTCATTAAAATGCAGTAAAATGCAAGGTCCTCTTACACTGTCTGGCCTCTCTCCCCCTAAAAAAACAACTATTTGTAGGTGGGTAATGTATCTGTAAAGAAAAAGTTAGGGTTTATACTTCCTACCTGTCTTCTTTCCACATTGCGATTGCATGTCTCTTCTGCAATAAATAGGCTCTCTGTCTGCTCATTAGCTTTTCATAATTGACTTTAGTTCCAATTTAAAATATAACAGAACTTTTAAAAAGCATTTTTGGAAAGTTACCTTAGCCTGCCACTCTTTCCACTCTCAGGTGTATACTTATCAATTAGTGTAGTCGGGTCTTCTGGTGTTCTACCAGAATCTTGTGCTGTAGAAACCATTATAATTCTAGAGGACAGGCCTACCACCTGTAAACATTGGCTCTTACTTTTTTTTTTTTTTTGCAGTATTTAACTGAGTTAAAACAGGGATGGTGTCTGTCTAACCTCCTGACTCCCTTGCAGCATATCATTTTATCTATATCACAGGTGCTTCCCTCCTGTATTTTGTATTCTATATCACTTTTGAAGCAGTTAATAAAAATCTTTTATGTTTAGATTGATATTCTGCAACTGTTAGTTTCAGTGCTCTATTTAGAGAAATTTCCAGTTCAATAACAATTCTGTATACAATTCTAAATCAAAACTGCTGTGAAATGCTTACTGTAAGAGTTGCCAAATACTAAATTAACGTGAGCTGGTGCAAACTCCAAGGTTACAAAAACATTTTAAATACTTAGAAAATTCTTCTAATCTATTGACAAAATTAACTTTTTTTCCAATGCATCTAACAGAGAAATGCAACTTGAGCTGAATTACTGGTATTTATAAGGCACATTTTTGTTTGATACAGAGAAATAGGTAGATTTTGACATGCATCAAATGGTGCCTTTTTTCAGAGTAAACAGAAACTTTTCAGATCACATAACACTAGTCTTTAAGCACTTTTTTGAGGTTTTGGCTTTGATATTCTTTTTGCTCTAGTTGATTATACCTAGCAGCACCCAAATAATGTGTATTGTTACATAACCTCGTAAAGTGTAGCCTGCTCCTCCTTGACATTACCGCAACATTACCTGCCGTCATACAGTAGAACCAAATAGAATTTCCCCTTTCATTTCTGCAACTAACATAAAACAAAATTAGATTGTCATATCAGTCTGATAAGACTGCTTACAATGCAGCTCCTGATTTTTATAATCTAGAAAAATCTGAACGGGTTTAAGACTGCATTTGTTGTAGCGTCATATAAAAAGCAATCATTTGGATTTTGCTTATGTTTTTAAATTCATTATATTTTTTGTATTCCCTGCTGTATGTGTGTGTGTTTTGTTTGGCAGTCCTTGCAGTCCAGCTAAAGAACGCCATTAAAGACTTTTTCTGCCGATTGAGCAAGACAGCTGCAGGTATTGGCACAATACAGAAATCCATAATCAGGAAAGTAACTAAAGCATATTGCCGTTTTTTCACTAGAACAAAACACATCTGGCACAGGCCCTGTTAATTTGTTATCCGCACATCATGAATAATGCACCAGCTACAGCTGGCACCTCCTAAACCTATTTGCCAAGCCATGAAATAGAGCACATTTGATTTCTGAATACCTTTGTCTGTGTTCAGTGTCTAGCTTTTTCTGACTCATTGTCAGTCTCATCCACTGCTTCATTAGCTCTGTGTGTGCTTCAGGTTGATGTTTCATACTTTCAAGTAGCTTTTTATTTCCAGTAATACCTTTTATGCTATCTGAAAGCATTTTTGTTTATCCGACTTGCAGTAGCCAACAAAATTTACAGTTGCACATTCCCCAAATTTGTACAGTTTTACAGCCTTTCTAGCTTCTCAACGCTTGATTGCTGTAATAGAGCGTAATGTAAAAAGAAAGAATAAAATACATGGAAAGCATTTTAACAGGCAAAGTCCTGCATACCTCTTTTTTCCCTTCAGCCAAAGGCCTGAAAAATGAGCTCAATAAGAATGGCTCATCGTTATTTCTGCTCGTCTTCATTCTGATGTCTCATTTCAGGTTAACCTCATTTTATCAGCAAAAAAAAAAAAAAAGAAGTTAAAGCTAAGAGAAGGAGCAAAGTCCTAGCGTAAAACCAGTATTACCGAGTGGCAAGAATTCATAGATATAATAATATGTAAAGGTATATATTTAATAATATGGACATTGTGAATGGAATTTAATCTATATATGGGTCAGGTTTAAGGCACAATTTAACAACCTTCTTACAATGCACCTAAATGCTCATGCTTTAAAACCAAAGCATCAAATTGTTCTTATGGGCACAAATCTCAAACAGGTCTCAAATGCAAACCATTTGAGGTCCGTGCTTCTAAATATGTAGTCCATATCACTAGCCCTAGAAATGTTTTCAGTTCTGAGAATGTATGATTTGCCTGGAATGGAATATAGCGGAGGACTAAAATGAGATCACAAAAAGAAAATGTATATTAAAGTAAAAGTAAGGCTTCTACTGTAATTATTTTCTTATGTCCTGTAGAGATGTAACAGGCATAGATGGGACAAAGTACTAACCCTAATCCCAATTTGCTCACAGATCTTTTTTTATTGAGGACACATTGATTTAATCGGAACAGTTTCCCTGATTTTTCTCTGTAAATCCTATAACACCATGTTCTCTGCATCCAGACACAATTTATTTCTGAGTGGAAGGCTTAAATATATTCATAACACATGGAAGTATGTAATTAAACTTTAAATGAGATTCATTTTTAGTTAGATTGTGTCTGATATATTTTGACTCCTGTGCACTTCAGGACATTTACCAAAGTACACTATAAAATGCTGTCACCAGTAATATATACTTAGGCTTCTTTTATAGATTTATAAATTAAGGTTATCCCTGTTTCGGTTTTATAAAGCAATTCACAGTATTCATTATTTTGTGAGTCATTTGGGCAAAATGGACTTGGCATTTGATTAAACTTGTGTCTGCTTGCTGCCACCGAGCCATTTAAATGGTTTGTTATAGAATGAATTGCTTTTATTGCTACACTATTGCGGCTCTGCTAAGTGGGATTATGATCATCAAGTGACCTCTAAATGAATCTGCAAACTTTATCCTCATGAGTCATCACATGCCGAGGGTAAAATACTGGGGATCAAGAGGTATTAAGGAAGATTTACACTACAGCTGTATGCACACATCTATGTTGTATAGTTTCCATATCCTAATTATATTATTAGCACTTCAGATTGTGTGAAAGTGTGATTAGCGGAGTGCTTGTTCACTTGAGAGGTGCTTTTGGGAGGAGTGGGCTACTGCAGTCGCACAGACAGACATTCTGTGACTGACTCTGATTTCATAAAGATACAGCTAATTCACCAAGAGCTAATGAGGCACACAGGACCTCACTCCTCAGTCACTAATTACTAGTAAACAAATAGGCTGAACATTGGTTCTGCCAGCAAAATGTCTGCTTCCACTGTGTGTAATTTTCAAAGCTTGAGGAGGAACTCCAGGCTATCTAACAATGTATGAATATGTAAGAATGAAGAGCTTTAAAACCAATACATTCACCCAATTAAAGACCAAACCCAGACAACTTTTTTTGGTTAATTTTGGATAGATTAATGGCCCATTAACACCAATAATATGCAGTACATGCATTTATAATGAAAGGGACCCAATGCCCCTGTATTGTACAGTAATGCACAGCCATTCATTATGGCATACTGCACTGCAGGAAATGCTACGAAAGCAAAAAAAAATGTTAATTGATCCTAAGTGGACCCAGACAGCCATTAGAAAGTTTCCATGTCACATAGGTAATGATGTGGATACCCATCTCCAATATATGAAGAAGATGAAAGACTCAAGACTGAAATGTCACGTGACAATGGATTTAGGTGAGCAAAAGTGGATTCAGGTAGAAGGGGTCTTTTTTTGGGGGGTTTATGGCAGCATACAGGTGAGTGGGTTAATTTTAAACAGTTGGTTTTATGGTAATTTTGGGAACATTTTATGCATAGTGGACCTCTTTAGACTGTAATACATTAGGTTTAATCAAACTGCTTTACTTATCTGAAGTGTTTGCCTTTTTGTTTTGAAACAGAAGTGAATTAAAAGAAGAAAAACTACAAAAACAAGAGTTACTTTCACAGCTAGAAGCCAGCCATGAGAAATTGTCTGAGGTAATAAACACAGTCACGTATCATTTTCCTGTGTTCCAAGGTTCATTTATTAACCAGTACTCTTGACTGATGCTGTAATATTGTTGTTAATATCACTTCAGACACGTTGTCGACAGTATTCTATAATATAGAAAACCGTGCCAATATTTTGTTAATTTCTTCATAATACGAGATGTAATATAAATAAGATCTGAATAAGCCCAAACCTCCAGGGTCATGTTATAAGATTTTTGTTAGTACAAGTTGTAAAGAATTGAAGGTGACTTGAAGGTCCATCCACCTAATAGTAAGATTTTTAACATTCTGTAAAAAAAAAATGACTAAAGTATGATTGCCCTTCTCAGTGCTCAGTGCCTGTATCCTGGGGAATGGGCTCTTTATCTGAGGAATGCCAGATTTGGATCTATCTGCTGGTGTCCAGATTCAACAAAAAACTGGACAGGTTTGTTACCAGGTCCAAGGACCTGCGTGTATTTGAAGTGGAGGTTCTGGTGACGTGTTTGGATCAGTTTAACCTGATCTATGATTGTATTAAGTCCTCCTGCGCATATATGGATCCTCCCTGACCCTCAGCTGCTGACACTCAAACCTATAACCAATAAAATGCAAAGTAGTGTAGCGCTACTAAATAAATAAATACAACATATAAATATATAAAAACACAGTACGGTGATCAGATCCTTACAGGATCTATAAGTGCATAAATAAAATAGTGACAAAGTGACAACAACGGAATATGTGAAAATATGAATCCTCAGTCCCCCTTATCCACAATTGAGGGATCAAAATACTTACTACTACAACAGTGCAAATAAGTGAATCCCCTATTATGGGGATATAATCCTATATTACAGTGATAAGTGCCACACACTTAACCACATATGAATGTCCACTTAAACGATAATGTAAATTATTAATCATGAACACACAAAAATAAAAAAGTCCAGAAACTGAAAACATAGACTCGTGCTCCAACTTCAAAGTCATGCAAGTGATAAGGTGTAAACGTGGTCACAGCACAGGTATAAATCCTCAAGTGGCCAAAATGCCCCCTCACCTCCTTACAGTGACCACACGGGCCAGATCGCTTATAGGATCCCACCACGATCCTCACAGGTATTAAACGTCACAGGCCAATTACCTCACTGGATCCCATCAATGGTGGCACTTACTCCTCTCCTTTAAGATCTCCAGCCACTGGTATCAGCAATATCGCTCAGTCTCCATAAAGGATCATACTAATAAAGCAAAAAGATCCTCCATAGTGTAATTATGTTTATTAAATAACACAATATCAGAATAAGAAATGCCCACTCACATTTGTTCCATATAACAATCACTTTTTCACCTCATGCTGTGGGTGTACTGCATAGGTAGTAAAAGGTGTACCAAGATGGCGCCCACGCCGGAAATGACGTCACCGCATACCGTACGTTCCTTCCCATGTACCAACACGTTACATCACTCTAGTCAAGTGACTTCATCAGGGTATCTTTTATGGAGGGATTGTTATATGGAAGAAATGTGAGTGGGCATTTCTTACTCTGATATTGTGTTATTTAATAAACATAATTACACTATGGAGGATCTTTTTGCTTTATTACTATGATCCTTTATGGAGAGTGAGCGATATTGCTGATACCAGTGGCTGGAGATCTTAAAGGAGAGGAGTAAGTGCCACCATTGATGGGATCCAGTGAGGTAATTGGCCTGTGACGTTTAATACCTGTGAGGATCGTGCTGGGATCCTATAAGCGATCTGGCCCGTGTGGTCACTGTAAGGAGGTGAGGGGGCATTTTGGCCACTTTTACACGTTATCACTTGCATAACTTTGAAGTTGGAGCACGAGTCTATGTTTTCAGTTTCTGGACTTTTTTATTTTCGTGTGTTCATGATTAATAATTTACATTATCGTTTAAGTGGACATTCATATGTGGATAAGTGTGTGGCACTTATCACTGTAATATAGGATTATATCCCCATAATAGGGGATTCACTTATTTGAACTATTGTAGTAGTGAGTATTTGATCCCTCAATTGTGGATAAGGGGGACTGAGGAATAATATATTCACATATTCCGTTGTTGTCACTTTGTCACTATTTCATTTATGCACTTATAGATCCTGTAAGGATCTGATCACCTTACTGTGTATTTATATATTGTATTTATTTATTTAGTAGCGCTACACTATTTTGCATTTTATTTAACCTGATCTATGCTTTTTCCCCCCTCCAGATTCTTTCTTCTCTGCTCTGCGGATTGAGATGGTGAGCTTTCTGGTTATTCTCACCACACCAAATTGGTCCAGGAGGATTTAGTTCGACATACTCAGACTCCTGGCAGGCTATATGTGGGCCCTTTTGGAATGTCCAGATCTTCTGTTCTGAAGGCCAGTGTTCCATTGTGCTTCTCAATCACTGGTTTGAACAACATAGCTGTTAAAGCCATGGTCTTGAAAGACAGGGACCTGGCTGACTCAGTTGTCCCTACCTCTTGGAGACTATTAGTTCAACTTCTTACAAATTCTACCATCGCCCTTGGAATACCTAATTTACTTGGTGCAGGTCAAGAAACTTTCATCATGTACTCTGCAAGAAATATCCTGTCCATTATCCCATCTGATGGTACTCAAAGAAAATGTTGATCAGAATAGTTCTCTCAGCTCTTAAGAAGCTGCCTTGTTTTACCTATTTAAGTTATTCTCTTGTCTGACTCCACTCACAAGGTGACTTTTCTTGTTGCTATCACATGCATGGAGGGTCTCTGAGTTAGCAACCTTGTCCTTCAAGGAACCCTTGTTATTGTTTCTTAATGATAAGGTTGACTTGAGGCCTTAAACCTCCTTCCTCCCAAAGGTGGTCTCCTACACAATGTGGGAATTTATGTCTCAGCTACAGCTTTTTTTAAGCACTTGGGTGCCTTCTTTGTACTTCCTGAGGTTTCCTGCAAGATCTCCCTGTTTCCATTCCACTAGTGCTAGGTGGATGAGATGGTTCTCTTTCCAGCCCAGGGGTGTGGAAATGTTTGAAAAATCTACTTGTCCAGGGAGTAAATTGGTGTCCCAATCTGCTTGCCCTCATAAAAAAATAATTTTTAACCAAAACCTTATTTAAATTTGCTTTAAGTAATGTCTGGGGCTTTTAAAACAAAAGGGGCTTTATGGCAATTTAAACATATATTTTTAACATTGCACTGTTTATCTCCTCCTCCCCTCCCTGCCTGTCTCTAGCACCACACCCAGGGACTAGCAGGGAGGAGAGAGGCCTTGCAGTGTAATGAGCACCGATTGGCTGCTCCTAAGGATAGAGGAGTGTTGGGCTTATCCTTTATCCCTTTCGCTGCTAGAGCTGTTTTTGCATTTTTTTGCACACGTTTAAAAAATCATTTACGGCCAAAAGATTACAAAAAACTCAAAAACATTATATGTTTTCTGAAATCAGAAACCCTAGAGAATAAAATAGTGGTAGTTCCAATTTTTTATGTCACACAATATTATCACAAAGGTCTAGGTAACGCAAAATTTCTGTAAAAAATACACGCAAGTTAATTTTAGGGAATAAAAAGCAATAAATTATCCACTCTTTTTGTAAAATATAAAAGATGAGGTTGCATCAAGTAAATAGATATCCAACGTGTCAAACCTTAAATTTGCACGCGCTCGGGAAATGGCAACAAACTTAAGTACCCTATATTTTCTATAGGTGCCACTTTTAAAGCCCCTTTATAGGTCATCAGTTTAATGTTACGGAAGAGGTCTGGTTCTAGACTCATTCTGGCGTGCGTGGCGATTTGTAACATGCGTGTGTATCGCAATCGTCGTTTTTATGCGTAGGTGCCCCAATGCATTCTTTTACATTTGTACGCACATACATATGTAGGGGTGGGGGGCCCTAAAAAATTTAGGGGAGGTTATATGCTTGGGTGTAGCTTAAATTTTTTTAAAAAATTTTTACTTAACTTTTTTTTTGTCACAATAAAAGTCCCCTATGTGATGATTTTTGGTGACAGGTTCTCTTCTTTGCGACATCCTGTGTCTAAAAGAGCCCCAATATCTCCCCTGTGCTCCACTGAATGTAATGCAGTGCACATCGCACAAATCTGTCAACGGGGACCCGGAAGTGACATCACATCACTTCCAGGTCAGGACAAGAAGGGGAGGGGAGCAGATATGTCCGCTCTTCTTGCTCCCCTATACCCGTGGGCAGCCACTGAACTGGTCCTGGCCCCACAGATGGGCAAGCGGAGCCCGGGAGACATAGCGGGGCTGGCACCATAGCGGGCTGTGTGGAAGCAACCGAGCGGCAGCGCTGCCGCCTGAATGCTTCCACCTGACAGGTGAGCCCTGCTGCTTGCCCACAGCAGGGCTAAAGGTTAAAAAAACTTCCTACATGTTCTAGGCGTCGGGCGATATGAATTAAACATCCCTGCCAGCCTACAGTTTAACTCTGTTGTCTGTCAAGCCCTTCTTGATGTTTTTTGTTATGAAGACCTTTTGACATCATTTGCTGTGTTGCCCACCCATAATGTATGATTTTTACTTGCCAATAAAATCAGTTTCCTCTGCATGCAGGTGCATCACCTTTTTCCAGAGTGGGGTGATGATTGCTAACCTTTGCCGATGCCTGGACAGCTTGTTTTTCAGATGCTCAGGTGCAGATGGTGATCTCCCAGGGCTACAAGCTGGACTTTGGCTCCCTACTCCCTCCTTGGTTTCTTACTTCCAACCTTCCTGTGTCACCGCACAGATTAGCAGACCTCCATCAAGCCTAACAGATCTTCTGGATCAAGGTGTGATTGCCCTTTTTCTGTGTTCCAGAGGTTTTACTCTAATCTGTTTATCATTCCTCAGTTCAAATGGGACATTCTTCCCATTCTGGATTTCAAAGCACTCAATGTCTTCATTCAAGCCTAAAAATTTCACCCTATCTGTCATCACTTCAGACTCTCCTCTCTCAAATTCTGTAGTCCAAGACCTGTCCCACTCACTGCTTTTACAT